TGCCGAGTGAATGAGCAAGGGAGGAAGGAGGGGCAGTTAGGGTCCACTCTGCCTTCCTGGGGAGGCTCGACCGTCTCGCACTGTGTGCCCCTTTCAGACTCGCTCCTCTTTGGTCTCCCCGAGCTGCAGGGTCCAGGCTGCCTGCCTCCCTGGGTGGTCCACCTGCCTCACTACAGCCCAACCCAGATGGCATTCAGAGCTCTCCATGCAAGGAGCCCTGGGCCTGGCCATCCTGTCATCCTCCCTTCTCTAAGGGAGGGTTCTCATCTCAGCCAAAGTGGGGCGTATTTTTAACCCTTTTCCATTTTGGAAAATGTCACTGTGACAAAAGCCAGTTCACTTCCCTTGCCCCCACCTGCTCACCGCGTCACAGGCAGGAAGCCCCTCTCTGTCAATGGCAGGGGTTGCCTTTTGGGGTACTTTTGGGAGAGGGATGGTTGGGGATAGCGCCGAGAGGATCCCCTTACCCAGAGCTCCCTTCCTATAATCTGGGTCCGACCTGAGGCCGTTGGGCCATGCTCAGAAGGTCTGGTCCTAGATTTGGCCTGGATTGGAGCAGAGAGAGCCCGTCCCTGACTGATCCAGGCTTACCAGCCCCACCCTGCCAGGGTGGCCTCGGAGCAGGGTGCTGAATGCCTGCCAGGCCGTGACAAGTGCCTGACACCGAGCTTGGTTCCTGGTTCCTGTCCTCCCTGACTGCCTGGGAACCCTAGACCAGCCAGATAGGACAACACTGCCGAGTTTTACATCCAGATATGAAATAAACACCATTTTGGCATTTCCCCGGTTCCTGGGTTTGTCTTTGTCTGCATGGGCGGACCAAAGTGGCCCAAGGGCAGCTGCTCACACCCACTAGTGATTTCGCCCTGGGCTGAGGGTACTTCGGGCCTGGTACACATGCCAGGCTGACTCCAGGGCCACAGCGGCCTTTCTAGGTGTGGAAAGGTCGGAGGAGCTGAAGGATGGCAGGTGCCGCATGCCCCTTGCTCTGCGCCGCCCCTGTGCGTTGTGTATGTGACACCCACCCCCGGCCCCGCGTGCGCCAGCGTCTGCCCACAGTGGCCACCCCCAGCTGCGTGCCAGCCTGCTGAAGGGCGGGCACAGTGCCTGCTGCAGCGCTGAGCTATTTTCAGAAGCTGCCAGATTTCATTTGGCAGCGAGAATATCGGGGAGGGGAGGGGGCGGTTGCTGGAAGACTATCTTTTGACTACTCCAGCAACAGAGCACCCTCAGCCCTCAGGAGCCTTGCGGGCAGCCTCAGGGGGCCCCTGCCAGTGGCACATCTCCCCCTGCTGCTATCATTGAAACCTCCCAGTTCTCCCAAAGCTCGCTGGTGCCCGCAGTGCTCCTCCTCCACCCCCCCCACGTGGGGGAGGTGCGCAGTCGGCAGAGACGGGGGACAGGCAAGCACTCCTGAGAGCTGCCGCGGAGCTGGTGACCTTGGACAAGTCCCGCAGCTTCCCTGGCCTCAATTCTGTCTGCTGCATGCTGGGGATGACCATGCCCACCTCGTGGAGCCATCCGGGGGACTGGGGCAGCTGGGCGTGTGAGGTACTCAGTCAGGCACCTGGCTCGTGCCCAGCACCCGTTGGCTACCCCAGCAGCTTTAGCCAAGAGGAAGGAGAGGAGTGCCTAGAGCGGCGTGAGGGAACGCAGTCTGGCTCCAAATCTGCCTCTGGGATTTTCCACCCAAAACATCAGGCCTTTTCCACCCACAGGGTTTCACTGCCAAGGGCCTGCTCTGCGGAGTGGCATCCCATGTGCTTCCTGGGCCTGGGTTCCAGGCCTGGCGTTTGAGGAGGGTGGCCAGGTGAATTCCAGGGGGCTCTGTGGAGACTGGGTCAGGCCACCCCTCCTAGTGTTCAAGGGTGGTGACACGTTGGCCAGACACAAAGGCACAGAGAGCTGGCCTGGTGACAAAGTTGCAGAGGCGTGTGGGACACATGTGGTTACTGTTCAGCTCCCACCTGCCCGAGCCCCTGCTGTACCTGAGCCCCGTGCTGGCTGCAAGGAAGGCAGCTATGAAAGCTTCGGATAGGGTTTTGTTTCGTTTGGTTTTACTTTTTATAGAGATAAATTTTTGCTATAGGGCTCCTGCACTCGCCAGAGAATCAGAGACAGACAGAGACAGAAAGCAAGAAATCACACCCCAGGGGAGATGGCCACGCTGCAACTCCTTCTCTATCATCCTCCAGATCTGGGACATGCACGCATACATACCTGGCACGAGTTTAAGCCCCTGGATCCAGGACTCTACCATGGTCAATTACGTGGGCGTCCAGCGACATAACCTCTATGCCATCTGCGGGTCCCCAGGTAGGATTCTTAGCTTGGTGATTTCATGTTCAGGAGGGGCAGGACAAAATACACAAATGTGTGTTGAACCCAGGCCTCAGTGTGGTCTGAAAGGAATGACGTGGCTCCAGGAGGCGGTGTCATGGGCAGTTAAAGCCAAAGAGGATGTACATACCCGGGGACTGGAGAAGTCGCCAGAGAGGTTACCAGGTTGAGGGTGGAACTGCAGGGACCAAGGCCTCAGAGACTCTGTCCCTCACCTGAACGGACCTCCACTTGTAAGACCACAGCCCTGCAGACCAGGGATGTGAGAGAGTGAGGTCCGCCAGGTGCCTGCGTGCCAACCCTGGGGATGGATTCAGGAATCGTATTGGTGATGCTTGGCCCCGTGCTGGGGGGGGCACACCCTCCTGTGACTGGGTTGGGGAGTGGGTGTAGCAGAAGCGATTAGCAGAAGAGAGGAGGGGAGGAGTGCCCCTATCTTTCACATCTGTTTGGCCACGTCCAAGAGCCCACATGAGCCTAGCCCAGTGACAGGTCCAGCCCAGGGACTGGCCCGCTGGCCTCTGGAATTAGGTATGGCTCTCATAAGTTAGGGCTGAGAGGCTGATGCCTAGCTAAGTCACACCCCTCCTTGGGCCTCAGTGTGGGGAGCACCTTAACAAGTGGCTCCTATCAGGTGATCCACGAGGCAGGTGGCTGCAGGTTTACATCAGTAGTCTAAACACAGGACCATTTGCGTGGGCTCCGTGGTGTGTGAGCCCAAAGTGTTTGAGTCAAAGCTTCCTTGGAGCTTTCAGTAAAGAATTCCACAACAGGTTCGTGTGTGTGTGTGTGTGTGTGTGTGTGAAAGAGAGAGAGAGAGAGAGACGTAGCCCCTGACTCTGTCCTCAGAACCTGGGGCTGGCTGACTTCCAGCGGCCTGGCTCATTGCTATTCCGCACCAGCCCCTCTCCGCCCTCGATTCAGCCCCTCCACCGCGGCATCAGAATCGAGCCTGGAAATGCAGCCTGCTGTAGGCTCTGCAGGGGTCTCAGTGTTTCCAGGCCTGCTTGGAACTCTCCCTGGCAGGCGTGGAGGGGTTGGAACCCGAGCCTTTGCATTCCTGGTAGGCCCTCATGGCTGGCTGCAAACCCAGTAAGGTGAAATTCGTGCTCCCCACACTGTACGCAGGATGGCATGGGTGCTTAGAGCCAGGAGACTTGAGCTTCGGTTTACACGAGGCCTTGGGCAAGGCTGTTCTCATGTTTGAAGTTCCTCTTCAGTAAAATACGATGTTGATTAAACAGGACCATCTTATTCCAGCACCTTTGGTAGACTTCTTGTCACCAGGCGGTGGGTTTTGAGGACTGCTCTGTGGTCTTGGACGGATCACATATTCTGCTAGGCCTCGGTATTTCCTGTTAGACGGGAGTTATCCTCAAAAGGGTGGAGCAGGGCTGTGATGAAGAAGGGGCAGGGGTGGCCAAACCCAGAGACCTTGGTCACTGGTGCAGCCCAGCACTCTGCCACTTTAACTCTCTCTCTTTCCCCTGACCAGAAGGCAGCTGGCTCCCTGGGACTCAGAGAAGCTGGCAGTGGGCAAGACAGGTTAATTGGGGTGCGGGGCCACCTGCTGGTCATCCAGGTAAACATTCAGTGGACACCTACTGTGTGCGGAAGCCTGAGGGGCTGTGGGCAGAGGGAGACACCATAGCATCGTCATGAACAGCTGCCTTTTACTGAGCACCTACTGTATGCCAGGGCGGGGCTGGGACTTTACCCATATCATCCCACTCGGTCTTTGCATTCCCATCTTACAGATAAACTGAGTCCCCAGCTCTTAACCACTGCTCTCTGTGCTAGAGGTGGTCCGAGGGAGGAAATGCCGATTTTGGCTAGGGACAATCACAGAAGGCTTCCCAGAGGTGGTGACAATGTGAACTCAAAGGACAAGCCAGATTTGGATAGACAAA